AACACACCTCTTTGCATCTTTTGCCTTTTCTGTGCTCTCGTTACGTGTCTGTGTAAGGTGCTAGTGGCGGAGTGTATCCTTGATAGGGAGTCAACTCAGAAGACAGAGCAGTACCTGAAGGTGTCGGGATTTAGGCCACAAGGTTTATGGCCCACGCTTTCTTAGCTATCTGGGCATCTGAAAGTCATTTTAACCAAAAAAAGAGGACATTTCACCCTTGATCAGCTAGAGAGAAGACACAGCTGAAAGTGTCATAACTTAGAAAAGTAAGCTGACCTTCAGGACTGCAAGAGAGGGAGACTGCATTGCTACTGGGAGTGACAGGTGACACAACATGACTGATTCAGAGTGTGGTAGTTCTGGAGTGTGGTGTGTGAGGACAGCAAAGGCAGCGGTGGGAAATCAGGCAGGGGAGGAGGCAGGTTCCAGGTCACAAAAAGGCCCAGGTGCCAGCATTTTATCTTGAAACCTATACAAGCATCATGGACAGATGCTACCTGTTTGATGGTAGAAAATGGGTTTGAGGGGAGCAAATCAGATGGAGAGAAGCTAGAGAGGGGGCAGCAGCTCCAGAAATTCAGGATGAGCTGAAGAGATGGATGCAAACTGTCTTCCGGAAGTAGAACCATAGACAGCAAGGCCCTGTTGTGAAGGGGAAGTGGGAATCCTGGCTGCCCCCAGGGGGTCTTGCTCAGACATGGGGTTAAAGACATTGGGGAGCAGTCCACTGGGGGAAAGGGTTATACACTCACGCCTGGATATATGAAGACATCTGAGGCAATGACCATGGGTTTTGGGATATATGGGTCAAAGGTGAGCGGGAAAGCCTGGGACGGTTAGAGATGGGGAATGAGCAGCACCTGCCTGGAGACAGTGGAAGCAAGATGTAAGTTGGGCATGTCGTGTCCTGCTGCTCAAGGGTGTTTTCTCCTTTTTCTTTGTCAGTCAATCCCCAGGAATTCCCTGTCTAAGGAGTCAAAGGGAGTAGTGTGTGGGTCCCATGGCCCTCATCACCACCAGTTAATTGATCACAGATAATCAATAGACCTGAAACCAAATCAAAGGCCATCTGACACAGATAAAGGCAAACGCTGCAAGTCTGGTGAGAGAGAGCCAGGAGAAATTAATCGGGCAAAATCACATCTAGTTTAACAAAGTGACTTCCAGTCCTCATAGCTGTAGAGCTTGTATGGTCTGATGGTAAAAGAGCTAAAGTAGAGGAGTTAGTGGGGTGTAGCGACAGAAAAGCTACACTTTCAAACCCAGCATGTAAGTGCAAGGGGTTGATAATTTTTATTCTCTCTCCATCCCATTTGTTCCACCATGCCTTCAGAGGCCATGGCTTTACTACACCCATCAAAAGTTCCAGCCTTGCATCTCCTACTGGCTCTCAAATCCAATGTGGCTAAAGCCAAATGCACCTTTTTCCAAAACCAGTTCCTTCTCCTTTCTCCTACATCTGACAGCAATGTCACCGCATCCCCAGTCTCCCAGCACTAACTTCATCTCCCTTCAAACCTCGTGCTACCCACAATCAGGAATCTCAGAGGTATTTAGCATATGTTGGTTGTTATATCTCTCTTTCCAGTTCCCGCTGCACACCTTCAGCCCGATAAACGCCTCTGGCTTTACTCTGAGCCACTGCTATGGTTCAGCTGTCCTGGGGCAGTTTCTCCCCTGACCGATCCTGCAGGCTGGCTAACATCAGGTGAAGCTTATTTAAAAATTCATTTTTGTCCCCTGCTCAAAAGCCCTCCTTAGCCCCTCTGACACCATGATTTACAAGAAAAAATACATATACTTGGTCTTTGCCCCTTGGTCTTTGTCTTTGTTTGTAGTACAGAGCCCCTAAAACTCTTGGGATTTCTCAGAGATGAAAAAGTACTATAGTGGGACAGTAACAAGGTATGGGGCTGTTATGGGCATCACAGACAGTGTCCTGGGTAAAGGAGAGCACTGGCCAGTAGTACCAGCCACTGGGAGGCAATGGGGTCAGACAACAGCGTTACCTCTCTCTGTGAGCCCTTGGCCCACACCAACATACAGCTAGCTCTTGGGGCCCCAGCCCCATGCCTGTGGTGTTTCTTGTTAGCCCATGACAGAGACTGGCTGGAGCAGGTGTCGTGGGCCTGGACTCTGCAAAGCTCTTTGACTTCTTTGTGAAAGTTATCAGCGTCTCTTCTTGCTTCGGAGGCCGCCCATTCTGCTTTCCTTGGAGGCCACACTCTGCCTCCTTGCAAGAGCCTGAGAGTCGGAGACTTCCAAGTTGGTTCTGCCCTGCCTTGTATCCTCTTGCCAGGGTGCCCCACCAACAAATCTCAGCGGACTATTTTCCGACTTATCGCTGGTTGGGCCGTAGCACCACTCAGCTCATAACTCACATCTGATTGGTCCATCCCACCATCCAGGCACCAACTCTACTGCCTCTCAACTGCCTGGAGCTGGGGAAGCCACAGGCACTGGCCCAGTGGGGCCCCATGCCTGGGGCTGCATGCCCTGCACTGGTGTGGTAGGGAAACCACTGCCCAGCTGTCACTGCTGGCCTCTGCCTGCAGTCTGACCCCCAGTGGCAGGCAGAGCTAAATGCCCATTACCCTCTGCTGTTTGCACTGCCCACAAGCAACTTCTGGAGCCAGGCACATGAATGGGAAGGTGGAGATGGGGAGGGGGGGTGCAGGGGAGGAGGAAGAGGGGCAGCTCCATTTTCCAGATGACAGTAACAAAGGTATTTTGTTATGTTGAAGTGACTTTCAGTCCCCTTACCAGGGAAACCAACCATCCGATGACAGCAATGGAGCTTTTAGTCCCTCCACATCCCCACCCTGGGAAGGAGAAAGGGGCTGCAGATTAAGTTCAGTTGCCAAAGTCTGTGATTTAGTCTGCCAGGCCTTTGGCATGAAGCCTCCATAAACTCCTCACAGGATGGAGTTCTAAGAGCACAGAGAGTGCTCGGAAGCACCAGGCCCTTTCCCCACACCTTGCCTGGCACATTGCTTCCATGTGGCTATTTCTGATGCATCCTTTTATAAGCTGGTAATCAGATCAGTAAAAGATTTCTGAGTTCTAAGTGCACTGGACTATGGGATGGCACACAGGTGGTTTGGTGATAGGAAGCCCACAGGGATTACAACTGAGATGGAAAATGATATAAAAATAAACTATACATTATTTAAAAAAAATGATTTCTCAGTTCTGTGTGCTGCTCTAGCAAATCAATCAATCCCAAGGAGGAAGGAAGGGGTCACTGGAACCTGCAATGTACAGCTGGTAGGTCAGAAGCACAGGTGACTACTTGAACTTGGCAGCTGAAGGGCAGGAGGAGGGAGGGAGAAAGCATTCATATGGAACAGAGTCCTTGATCTGGAAGATCTGACACTATCTTGGATAGTGTCAGAATTGAGTTGAATTATAGACCTAGCTGGCTTTGGAGAACTGCTCAGATGTGTGGACACTGGAATTGTGTGTTCAGAATATTTGTGTGTGTGTGTGTGTGTGTTCAGAATCTTTACCCAAAAGAGATGACCTCCAAACATGCTAGTCCAAATTCCTTCCTCCCCCACACCCTTTCTCCCCTCCTCATGCCACCAGCAAATCTGAACTATATGTACCTCCAACGTTCTTAACATTTCTACCATTTTCCTTTGAAGGTACCAGCTAAGGTTGAAGAGTGTTTGTGAGGGTGGAGAGGAAGCAGAGTTCCCATACAACCAACACTCAGGTGCTGGAGAGGGGTGGGGGGGAGAAGCCCAGGGCTGCTCTTTCCACACACAGCCTGTCTTTCAACTCTCCTCCCTCTCAACACTGCCTGTCATATTTTAACCAGGGTTTACCTGCATCCATGTTGAGCTTGAGTTATCCAGTGTGCCTGCTCACACCAGACACACCTCCAGGAAGGTAAGCCTCCGTGCACCCATCACTCTCCCAGAGTGCATGTGCCCTTCATTACCAGAACACTGACACTGAGGTAGATCAGACACCTCGCAGGCACACGGGTCAGCAGTACAGTAATTACCATAAGGAAAGGAGTTGATTGTTCTACCCTCTTGGTTTTCTAAAATTCTATTTCATCCAAAGGATAAGCTACTTGGCAGTTTTTCAAAGAAAAGTCTGTTGCTGATGGGAACAAGCCCTGCTGAGAGGTGTTTCATGGGTAGATGACAGTGGCATCATCTACCAAGAAAAAAAAAAAAAAAAAAACAGGCAGCTCCCAAGAGAGCAAGGAAGCCAACTGTTCTACCTCTCCTCTAAAAGGAAAGAAGGACAAAATATGAAAATAGAGTCATGGAATATTCTGTACAGTTGGCAGCAAAACATCTTTCTTAACACTGCTGAGAACACAGTGCCTTGGAATAACAAACAACCCCCAGGTGTCTGATGCATCTGAATGCATGGGGAGCAAAGCTTCCCCCCTGGGGGACAGACTGAGCCTGAGTGCAGGAGCCCCACAGGTTCCAGAGGGATCTAAGTTGGCCCCAAAGTGTCTCCAGTTATGGTCCACGTTAATGAGCAGGCCTAAATAGTTGATATTTACTGATCAAGAATGAAAGGGTCTAAAAAGTGTTTATAAAGGATAAAAAGCAGAATGTGGACAAGTGGAATTAGGGTGTCTACTCACTTTTTACTTAACAGATATTGCCATGTTTGGGGAGTTTTAGGTTTTGGACATTACCTCATTGTAATTTGCTCCAAATGGTAAGATGCTTAAATAGTTGGTTATATGTGTAAACTGGATTTTAGCTATCCTGAATGTCTCTAAAGACATTTAGAGAGGCCCTTAGCTCCAACTCTCCTTCCTGGCCCAATGCCACGTGTGTGTGTGAAGGAGCAGTGAGACCTGTACTTTCAGACCTCCCTGTGTATCTCCCTGACTCAAGACATGTCTTGCACAGATCTAAGCCACAAAACCCATATTTGCACCCCCAAGTCTCTGTCTTTAGCTGTAAATTGAGAATCATTAGTACTTTATTGAAGAGGTATAAAAACTAATTGAGACAGCATTTAAAAGGGCAACCTGGCCTACTGTCAGGCCTACCTACAGGGTAGGTGCCCTCCCCTGGCCAAAGGGTATCACCTCTCACAATGTTTATGGTGTACTCAATGGGAGCACTCAGGCACTAGGGGCACACTGGCATAAAGTAAAGGAGGAGAGGGCAGGGCAGCATATTTCAGAGAACTGGTTTTTTTACTTAAAAAACATTCATTTGAAGTTCTATCAGAGAATGATAGGCTAGGCCTAAAAAATTCAATATCTCTGTTCTAATTATACAAGAGCCTTACAACTAAAATCATCTAAGAGACCACTGCTTTACAGTATATGAGATGCAGAATTTTCAGATTTTCCCCATGTATGTAAAATTTAAACATTCACATTTGCAAAAGAGAAGCGAATTGGAATAAAGACATTGACTGCAAGCTATTTCATATCCATTAGTTATCATTTACACATCAAAGACATACAGCATTAAGACCAAATATACAGATTTCCACAATTATATACAGTAATCAACATAGTGCACAATTCAAATCTATCTTACAGTCAAGTGTACAAGTTTAAGTATGGCTTTATAAACTACTAACAATAACTGTGCTAAAGTAACTCATAGGTCCAGAAATAAAAACTGGAATGCCGCCTCCATATGAGGCCCTCGGTCAGCAAGATGCTGGTCACCGTTTGCCAACCAGGGTGCAGGTCAGTGTCTCCAGCAGTGTCCACCCAGCCACTCCCAAGCAGCTTTAACATGGGTTCACATTATCTCAACATTGGTCCTTCCACTCTCAGACATCTAAAAATAAATCTGTACTTCTTCCACACACTGAGAGACATGAAGTTACAAATAGAAGCCGCACACATAACCAGTGACGAGATGATTACCATGAATTATCAAAACCCACTATCCTCCATCTGCAGAATTTGTTTCCCCCACCTTCTTGTTTTGCTTAACTCAGTGGACTGTGAAATCTTTCGGGAATTTTCAAGACATTCTAAATCAAGTCAAGTGGTCCTCAAAACAAAAAGAATTCTTATAGTGGTGGCATTTAATTATTCACTCTTCTTTTCCCATTTTAGAATAAATACCTTGACCTAAAATCATGCACCCATGCCTATTTTACATCCACTTTGCCACAAACATTGGAAACATATCCTTTAATCAAGTGCAACCTTCTAGATGCTACTTCTAAGTCCCCTGACCTCATTCTCTAAACTCTGCTGAGTCAGGGGCTCGGTAAACGTCTACCTTCCTGTTTGTTTTTAATGTACATAATGAATCAGTGTAGCAGTGTGTGTGTGACTCAGCTCACCCCAGTGTCTGCTACTTCTCCCATCTTTCCTCCCATTTGGCAATCTCAAAGACCACCAGGTGAAGGACCCTCATCTGTCCATCGCCACGGACAAATATCTGAATTGTCACATGCATAACGCAGGTTGCTGGCAAAACATGTTTGCAGTAAGCATGGTCTCAGGAGACTGATTACTTGAGGTAAAATCATTTGGACAAATTTGTCACCCCTCCTGAAGCAGATTCCTCAAAAATGTTGAACACTCTTATTGCTTCAGATGTAATTTGTTAAAGGTGAAAATACAAACATTTGAATATAGTTTATGTATGAGTAAACTGTTAGTAATATATAGCTATGTTTTAATAAACTGAGGGGGGAATAGAAATAAATATCTGAGAACACTTCCAATACTGAAAAACTATTAAAGGGAAAAGTTCATGGATTTTTAAAGAGGGAATAAATCTCTAAGGCTTTCTCTTTCCATGTCCTCCAATGAACAATTACCTTCCCTCTGCTGTTTAGCCACTGCTCAAGAACATAATAATCTAGGACCTGGATTCTAGCTTTTTAAGTCATGGGACAATTTTTTTTAAGTATTCAAGAAGGGAAAAGCTTTCAATATTTTTGAGAAATGAAAATTACTCTGTATTGCAGAGCTGCAAAGCATTTAAATAGGCTTTCCCATTGGCAAAGTTTTCCCAACAGGGCATGGGAAGGAAACTTGTCCCATTTAGTGATGCTATTTTTAATAAAATTAACCCTAAGTATATACAACTTCAGAGTTAATGGATTGCTTCAAAATATTTAAAACTGTAATTAGGGATGACTGCAACTTTCAAAAATTCAAGGCCTTCAAGTTCATTGATGATGTTATTTGTGTAGAGAACACCAAAGTACATTATCAACCTTTTGCTCTAAATAACTTATTTCCCCACTGCAATAAGCAGGAGTGTTTGGTGCTGGCCAGACAATATCCATAGATTCTTATTGCCTGGTCCCCTTTATTTATTTGCCTACAAATGTAACCATTTGGGGCAATAATGCTGTTGAAATATGAAGACCCAAATTTGTTAGGCTAGCCACAGCAGCAGAAGTTTCAGAGAACATTTGTCTCGGGAAGAGTTCTCTGCTTCAACAAGAATCAAAATAGTTGAGGAGGTCCCACCACCAGTCCCCAAACAGTTGAGTGCCTTTCCTTTAAGTTATTTTTTTAGTATTCTCTGCAGAAGCAAAGCCAATGTGTTTCTGCTTCTAGATATTCTTTAAATCCTGGGACAAAAACCTAAGTCTCTAGTGAGGAATTCAAATGAAAAAAAAAATCCGTACTTTTTGCATTTATCCACAGTACTAGCAGGATGCAGATGACAGGCACCTTACACCTGTGCAAGGAGAATCTTTTAAAGTTTCAAGCTTCATCCAGACCACTGGAAGCAAATGAATTAAAGTCAAACACCCCATGATCACTTGCAGTTGATCCTTGGACCTGTTAGAAATGGATTGCCAGATTTCAGCATTTAGAATCGGAAGTATTTGTCATTAAATGTACTTTCATCTGTTCTTGTTCAATAAATTGCACTGAAAAGGAGAACAAAGGATCCTGGGTCAGAGTCAGGTGCAATAAAAATAACTTCATCCTGTAAAAAAAAAAAAGAAAAAAAAAAGAACCTGAGTTGTTCCCCATCAATAAAAGGCACCATCCTTTTATTGAATATACACTCAACAATTGTTCTAGGAATGAATTCATAAATGAATGAACAAACAAATGAATGAATGAGAAAACCTGATTGTGCAGAATTTTTTTCCCTGTATGGAAAACTCAGTCTCTCCTCTCCCACCTTAAGGCACAGGATGACCAGTCTACCATCCAAGCTGATGCCATGCGTTTTAAGATTGAATAAAGCTCACCTGGCCTTGAACTGATTTTGATAAATCAACTGTGGGAATGGTTAATAGATGAACTGATAATGACAACAAAACCCTGTCACTTTAAAATGCCAAACCTGGGCCTTCCCTGGTGGCACAACAAGGTAAAGCACAGCACTATGAAGCTACCTTGGCCAGGGGGGTGAACCACATGGTGCAGCAGACCTCTCCTGATTCTCCCACTGCTCCCCTTAGCAGTTTATTTCAATAAATCTGCCTGTTCTGCTCCCCACTCTGTCTCAATGAATCCTCTCACCCCCCGTACCTCTGGCCTGTATGTTGCATAAATAAATAAATCTTTTTTTTTTTTTAATGCTAAACCTGTCTATCCAAAGACATTTTTTCAATTAACATAAGACAGTTTCCTTCCTTCCTTTCCATCACGAATGCCATGTTCAAGTGGGTTTTAGGTCTTCCAACCTCCTTAACTTACATGTACAATCTTGCCTATCTGCATAGATGTATTTTTTTTTTTAGAACACTGGACTTTCATTAGATTATCAATGGAATCTATGACACAGAAATTATTAAAACACGTTTTGAGACTGTAGCTCACCTTCTGAGTATGCCTTACCCTCATAGCCTCAGGGAAGGAATACTTTTTCTAGAAGGGGTAACTCTAACAAGCTGGGATTTCTTCTTGCAGAACTAACCAAGATGGATCTTGAGAAATGGGTATGCCTTGCGTCTGTGGAAAAGAAGGGCTGGCATTTCAGGAGAAAAGCAGGGATGTGCAGAGGCTGGGGGCGTGAGGCATGTTCAGGCAAAATCACACAGATCACCCTGGCAGTGCTGGAGGTTTCATGCGGAGGAGCCCAAAGTGAACAGAAAAGTAAAGAAGTGAGAATACCAGGCCCTAAGGAATGACACTGCCAGAGGCAAGAGCACGCCAACAGTGCTAAGCACTTTAGAAAGACTAGTCAAATGAGGGTGGGTAGAATGGGTTAGTGTTGTGATCAAGCATGTAAGAGAGGATATTGCAGAAATTAGGCAAAGAAGGATGCCCCTGAAATCAGGGGCCAAATCTGTTCACAGTAGCTCCATTGTAGACACCCAGGCCTGGCACAAAGAATGAGGGGTCTTGTTGACTTAGATAGTCATCCTGCTACTCACGGAGCCTAGCCCAGCCCTGGATAGAGTACATACTGAAGAAAGATCGCTTGACTTGAACAGATACAAGGGACGAGAGTAGAGGATTCCAAGCACTCTCTGGAAGAGGCTGGATTCGTGTTGGCTCTATGAACATGCAGTTATTTCTCAGGTTAAATAAAGAAAGTCAAGGTGGACCTCCCTGTGGCAAAGGGGTTAAAGTCTTAGTGTTACCAAGCTATTACCAGCCACTATGGCATGAGCTCCGATCACCAGCCAGGGAGCTGACCCACATGGCACAGCAGACCTCTCCTTTCTCACTCACTGCTCCCCTCAGCAGTGGATTTCAGTCAGTCTGCCTGTTCTGCTCCCCACTCTGTCTCTGGTGAATCCTCTCACACCCCCTCCCCACATCTTTGGTCTACATCTCAGTTCTTGTATGCATAAAAAAAAAAGTCAAGGTAATGTATGGCAAGAAAATTCTAAGGGCGAGTGAACATTCCAGACCTTAAAATAAGTATGTGTGTGACACTAAGCCACTAACAATGTTGGGGCTCTCTTGCAAGGGCCTTTCTAGAGCTAACCCATCATTACATTCTATGATTCTACATTTCCAGGCTTTCTAGAGTTAATTCATGGACCTCATAGCCATGCTTATGACACTACCCATTTTCTCAAATAATCTGGGCAGGACCCATGATATTAAAATCCTTATAACTACTTCTCCTTGCACCCTAGTTATTTCACAAAAACATATCCTAATTCCTTATTGTGCACAGACAAGGCTCACGTGAGGTCTACACTGTAGATGTGACTCAATGCTACATTGTTCTAAGTCTATGATCAGTCAGCTATGTAGCCTGTGACTGTGGTATTGTAGCTTCTCACAATTCATCATGGTACAGTAACAAAATGGTAAACATTGATAATATAGTTGAATTCTACGTAAGTTTATATTCTCTTTATATATACTCTAGTATATTCAAAGCACAGCACACTGCTGCTATTCATTCTTCCTGATGCTGCTGTGGAGAGAGGGCAAAATTTATTTTTACAATGTAGATAAAAGAAACCAGTCATGGGTCATCTGTTCGACCAAAAGCACCTGTTAAAATTAAAGCTCACACTTCCCTAAGTTACTTTCCAGTAAAAAGAAGCATAGACATTGAACAAGTAAACCCAAAGGACAAAATGCCCCCTAATTTCTTGAGTCTTTTTTTTTCTTATAAGTAGCACCTGTTCATCAAATTGGAAAAAAAAAACTTCAAATCTGGGTATATTAAGAATAATTCATGTAAACTAAGTCCCCCCAATAAAGACTACATAAGTCACCCATACCACAGTGATTTTTGTCCTGGTCATTGTGTTTCTGTAGCCCACGATGGGAAAATAAAACCTGGGGCTAATCTAGTCACACCTACACAATTCCAAGTTGCCAAGTAGCCATCCCTTCTCTCAGGCCAGTACTGACTCTCCTACCAGCAACAGAGTCCATTCAAGCCCCTTTAAGAGGTACCTGGATACCTCTTAAAAGTGTGGGTGGGTAGAATGTGAAGAGTTTCACAACTTCACTTTGAACACTGGCTCTCTATGTAAAACATACAACCAAAATATAACTCTATGTACTCACAATAATCATTCTAGGAGGAAACATACATCACACTTAGTGCTATACAGTAAGAATAAATCACAGACAAAATTTCAAACACGTTTCTTTCCAGATGAGGGTGGGGAAGAGAAAACTCAGTCTTTCTGCAGACAAATCCAACAGCCACCTGTTCATTAACAATCATATTTTCCATCCAGAAGTTTCCCTAGTCACAGAAATACCCCCAACCTGAAACACATTTACTAGAGAGAAAAGAAAATGCTCCTCCTAAATGATGGTTGAAAACAAATACAAGCTTATCTGTCATTATCTTCTCCACCATATTCTCAGTAGGCATCAAACCGTCCTCTCAAATATGAACAGTCTTAATAAAATACAGTGTTTCTGCAGAGTAAGAATGTCTAATGTAGGGTCTCTCAGCATTTCTCCCCAGTTCGTATACCATACACAGTTGGTAAGGAACCTCAAAACGCTCCCCTTTTACCTCTGTCTATGAATCCATAGCATTTTAGGATTGTATTTGCAACAGCAATATTCAAAGAGAGTTCTCTTCACATAAAACACGTGAACTTTTCAGAGATTGCTGTCTTATCCCCATAAAGAATTCCTTCTCAGAGAGTCAGTTGAGGTCAAAAGCAAAGTTCTTCTGAAGTTGAAAATCTAACCACTGACCCTTCCTAGCCCAAATCCATGGCCATCACCCCAGGATCTTCACCCTCCACTTCACTGGAAAAAGTTTTAAGTCAACAAAAACTACCTTAAGAGACAGAATGCCATAGTAAATATGGATAACCTCAAGTTCATGTGCTCTATAGGGAAGGAGAAAGAATAAGGGGAGGGAATGAGAGTCTTAAAAATCAAGTCTATTTGTCCTCAGAGTTGTTTTCTTCTGACTGGGCAACAGGTGAACTCCTAGAAAAGTGTCATCAATAAAACTGCATAAAGTCTGCACTGCACAAAGTGCTTTGATAGCAGTAACACAATCTTCTTCCTACTCCAGCTTTTCAACATATCTTACAAGGTTTGTTTAAAAAAAAAATAACAACTTGGTAAGTGTTTTACAAAAATCAAACACCTTCCCCTTCACCTCTATTAAACCCATCATTTTCCTAAGATTTTCCCCTCCAAGTCAATCACAGGCAACTTAACAACCCAAGTCAACAAAGGATAGCATTCCAGTGTGCATTCGGGCAATGAAAGGCTTTTCTGAAAATACACAGTAGAATTGAAGAACTGTAGCTGTTGATGATTTGTAAAGTATTTCCAAGGTTCTTTCAACAAAATACTTTGATTCAAGCAAGATTGCAAAGAGGAATGATGACAGAATCCTAACTGTGTCTTTGTGAGTCTTACATCTGCTTGAACTTTTGCAAGTTACTGTGGTTGCTGTGGATTGAACATGGAATTCCTTTGCCCTCAAATCTTCACACATATGAAGTACAATAAAAAATAAAATGTGTTTATATCACACCTCATCCAAGAGGTTGAAAGTGCGAATGTTACACCACATGAATCCTCACAACACCCCTGTGAGGTAGGTAGGTGGGGAATATTGTTATCCCCACTTTACAGGTGGGGGAAAATGAGGCACACAGAATTAAGGGACTTGCCCTAAATCACACAACTAGTCACTGGCAGGGCTTAGAATAAAACTTACACTGATTAGCACCTAGCACAGTGCATTGCACATAGTAGGTGTTCATTGAAGATCTATGGATTTCGTTTGCCTCTTATCTCAACACACAACATCCACACATAAAACACAAGCAGCCACCACAGGACATGTATCTCCTACATTGTTTCTGATGGCATCTCTTATGACTACAAACCTTGGTGGATGAGGAATGTTCAAGAATCTACCTTGTAACTAAACCTTCAGGCTGAAGATTACCATGAACATTCTGTGGAAAACCAGCTCTTTTACCAGCTCCACCTCAAAATATTAGTTTTCTAAAGAAAACAAAAATGGATTTCAGGAACCATGCTGACTTTTTGTGGTTGTTGTTTTTTGCCTGTTGGTTTTAAATGGAGCCATATGAATGAACAGTTCTGTGTCTTGTTTGTACAAAAAAAAGAAATAAGGCTGCTATCGTCCAGTTAAGCTTGTGAGAACTGTGCCAAGCACAAAGATCTCCTCCCAGATGGGATGGGTTTCTACCTGGGAGACCAGACCCAGCCCCCGGTGTGGCAGCTCCGGTAGAAGGGGACGGGGAGCAGAACGTCACTTGCACTGTTCGTGGTCTGTGTAGTCATCCATGTCCACGTCAGAATCAAAGAGTGAATGTCCAGTAAAATCTGTATCTGGGGTTCTGGAAAAACTGTTCTCTGCTCCCTCATCTTCAAAGGTCTCTGTCCTTGAGTAAAAGCTGAAATCCAGCAGGGGAGTGTGGGTTTTGCTGCCTTCACTGCTCTCCTCAGACTCGTAGATGGTGTTGTCGTCATCATGATGCCACTCAGGCCAGAATTTCCTCCTTATTCTCTCACAGTACATGGCCAGGTTGATCAGCTCCCCTGTGGAGAGGAAAGGAAGTGATAGTTAGTGCTCGGAGGACAACCTCCCAGACACCAGTTTCTGGGAACTGGGAGAATGGCATGAGGTAGGCATTTGTGGAGTTCTCTCACAGAGGTGCTAGCAAGAACCTTAAATTTTTGTACACATAGTAAGACAGATGAGTGAAAAAACTTTAATTTGGAGTCTTAGAAAGAGATTTAGAAATGAGTCCTACAGTGATGACAAGTGAGAGGAGTGTATCCAAAATGGCAGTTAAACAACCATCACTTGGCTTTGGGAAATATTTATTATTTTATGACTGCATATCCAGAGAACAAGTGTTTCCACTGGTTCCTACTTAAAATAAGTTTCAGTCCAGGGAAAGATACCAACTGTTAGATTAAAGCTGCCAGAAGTAAACATTCACTCCACAAATATTTGCAGTGTTATTATGGGCTGGGCACTATGCCAAGCTGTTGAAGAAAGTTATGTTAGGATGGGAACTTTGCCTTAAATAATTCATAAAATGGGTAACTCAGAATTGCCTTTATGACAAGTTTGCCTACTAAACTCATTTAGTAATACAGGTATTTTCTTCAAATTTTTAAGTAGAATTCACTGCTGCCCAGGACTGGGCTACTTTTCTCATGTGGATCAAGGAACGTGCTGGTAAAGCCACTAACATCGTCCAGGCCTGTCTGAAACTGACTTTATTTGACTTTCACTTACTAATCCTCAATGAAAAATGAAGAAAAAATGTGAAGTTTTGCTTTGATCCACCAGATGGCAACATTGTTTATAAATATATAATTCATGTCTTTTCATAGGATTACATTGCCCTGAGAATATTTTTGGATGGTAATTTTTTTTAAGTTATATAAATAAAATTTACTTCTAATGAAGCTAATCCAGGTTTTTTTTGAAGAACATTAGACTGCAGATAAGCAAAAATAAAGAATTACCCAAAACTCCATTTTCATTTATATTCTTCCAGAAATGTATGTATTTATCTATATATATTTACATTTACTACATAGCATTTAGTTTTTTATGCTACCTTTTCTACTTAGCATATAATGAAAATCTTTCCATCTTACATGATGACCATCTTGACATTGCTTAACATTTCATTATACAGATAAACCAGTTTCACACTGTTTTCACCAATCCCCTATTTACAGGCCACTTAGACTGTTTCATATTATATCTATTGATTATAATGTATTTTATTTTCCATCAAGAACACAATATATTCTCATTTGGGAAATTAGAAGTCTGTATATAAAACAGGTAACAATAAATATAGAGAAAACAAGGGCCTCACTGGTGGCACGGGGATTAAATTTCAACCCTATCAAGCTATCACCAACCACTATGGCATGAGTTTGATCCCTGGCCAGGGGGTTGAGCCACATGGCACAGCAGAGACCAGCAGACCTCTCCTGTCTGGTCTGCTGCTACCCTCAGCAGTGGATTTCAGTCAATCCACCTGTTCTGCTCCCCACTCTGTCTCTGATGAGTCCTCTCACCCCCCCTCACTCCTGTACCTCTGGCCTACACCCCAGTTCTTCCATGCAAAATTAACGAAATAATTCTTTTTAAAAAAAAAAAAAAAAAAGCATCTGTAACCTCATCAATTCAAATTTATAGTGATTAACAATTTGGACTAATTTCTTTCAATATTTTTCTACTTATTTACTGTTATCATTATATCAGGAATATAACTATTCTTCATATAGCACTACCCTAAATTTTTCCAATATCAATAAAATTTTTCAAAACTTGATCAACTCACCCCCTACAAAGCATTAGAAAGTTAACCCCCTGTGGCTTGCACCATGTGACCCAGCAAACTCTTATCTCTTCCAGGTCACCATGTGCTGTCTGCTCAGAGCATAACAGTTCAACCCCCACTGTGTAAGAGTCCATTCTAACTGTCCTCTACTCAAAGATTACACTCTCAGGAGCCAGAGGCTTCACTTGGGATGGTACATGCAATTCCTTCACTTAGGTTCCCCTGGGGGAAGCAGTCATGAAACACCTCAGCAGGTATGGTACTGTTTGAAGTGCTTTATTTATCTATTGAATTCATATTGACTCCCTCAGTTCTACAACAGTTCTATGAAGCAAGAATTATTATTATTCCCCTCTGGTTTCTGTATATTATAGGTGCTATTTAGTGCTGATCCCCAGTGCAGCCTCCCCTGCTCAGTAGCTACCTTACCAGTAGCTGCGGTTGGAGAGAGTGTGGAAGCAGTGGCAAAAGGGGAAGGGGTTGTGGGGGAGGCACCAAGATGAATTACAATCACTCCACAGCAACCCCGAGGGACAGACTGCCTTGCCCAAAGCACCCATTCCCTAGGAGCAAGCAGGAAGGCAGAACCTGTTCACAAGATCCACAAGATCTGCACGCGCTGTAATTCTATCTGCTTCTTTTCTGGCTCATCTTCCACAGCCTGTTTCTTCACCTTTCTTTCAGGGGAACTTCCACCTTTCATGACTATGTAGTATTCATACCACTTCAGAACTCAATAATAAAAACTTATAAAGGCAAACATGTATATAGTCTGAGGCACTGGACTACGCACTGTTTGAAGTGCTTTATTCATCTTCTGAATTCATATTGACTCCCTCAGTTCTACAACAATTCTATGAAGCAAGAATTATTATTATTCACATCTGTAATGGGAAAACTGAAGCACCAGAGGTTATTAGTTAACGTGCCCAAGGTCACACAGTGGCAGCGCCAGGAGTCAAACACAAGAGGTCTCCAGACTCCATGCCTTTTACTGTGTCTCTACTCTGCCATCTTACTGATAAGCTGACATGCTGCTCACCGACCTCAGTTTCTTGTATTCTACTTTGCTTGGTTCCATCCATCAATTCCACTACTCACTCACCCCCTCTTTGAGGGGCATGTGAGAAAGCTAGACACACAGAGGAAGCTGGGCACTGCCTGATCTACCAGATTCTTATCTGAGGTTCTTTCTTCCCATCTTGCATATTTAAAAATTGTTAGTTGGGTTTTTCTTTTGAATCTTGTGTCTTTGACCATCCTGAATCGAAGATCAAAGCTCAGTGGCACAACGTCCACACTCTCCTTGAGAAGGTTGGAGCCCTCCACAGCCCCCTGCATATCGGGAGCTTCTCCACCTCGCATCCCCCTCTGGTTTCTGTATATTACAGGTGCTATTTAGTGCCGATCCCATGGCAGCCTCTGCTCAGCTGGGGCATCAACACTTTGATTAATCTCATCAGTACCTTCCCCGTCTTAAAGACTGAATCTTGGTGCCCACCACCAGGCACATTCTTAGGGTTGCAAATTGGAGATGACTTCACTAAAGGGGAAGCTGCTCCCAAAGATGCCAGCTGCCATGTGTATGTTTATCCCAACACTCCCCTCCACCACACACACACACACACCCATGATCTGAACCCTGATATCAGGCCAAGGTTGACTTTTACTGCCCCCTTACCAATGTGAGTTTTAGCTCTGACTACCAACCCGCCCTCCTCCCAGACACATGTTCATGCCCTACCTCTAGTCCCACTCACCCCCACTTCCATGCTTCCATCTGCAACTGTAACCCCAACAGGCCACAACAAAGATATAAGACTGTCTATTTTGTAAAAAGGTACATATAAGAATATTTATACTACTAAATACCCCCAGACTCGCAAAAGCATTTGCTGACACTCCTGTTTTCCCACAGTATTGAACTACCTGGCTCTACTACTCTCGGTATATGATGTACAGACACACCCCTGGAATCAAAGAAAGGGACACTTCAAACTAAATGACACGAAATTATTATATGACTTATTCATGGAACATCTAACACTTGCTCAGAGTCAAAGAGAATATCTGAGTGGGCAGTGAGTCCATCAGCCAGGCTGCTAGTGCTGCAGTGGCTAAACCACAAAGCTATGAGTGACCACGTCCAAAGAAAATTTAGAAGACCAGCAAAACCAGCACTTTTAATGGTAAGTAGCAAGTCTACTATGTAAGGAGTGGAAAGAAGAGAAATATTTAGGCCAGCTCCACCCATAAGACAATTTGAGCAACACAGCATGTGAGAAGCCCCGTCTTCTTCCTCCCCCCACCCATGTCCTGACCCTGGTCACAGACACCCCAGCCTGCTGTTTCCATAAAGCACCGTCAAGCTCACAGTATTGACCTAGAAGTCTCTGTTCTGTTACCCTCCACCCTCCAGCAACTCCCAAACCTTAAGGAGGTTTGCAGGGCTTACCTTTGATCAGCCGTTCAGGTCTTGTCCCAGGTAAGGTCCACATTGCCTGTGCCAAGTGTCCAAAGACAGTGGCATCGAGTGTGGAGAGCTTGGGGCCCATGATGTACTTCTTGTCACCTGCAGCAGACAGAGCAGAGAAGTCAGTGGGCCGCCCCACACTGTCGGGTATCATGTGATCTCCGCACTCACACATATGCACTCATTTAACTGGGCACCCAAAGTTTGACAGAGTAAAGCCAAAGATGCATGCATTACTCATTTGCTTAAAAAAAAAAAGATTAATGCGAAAACAAATGGAAGTTCATGGATAAAAGATCTAACTGGTTACTAACAGACCTCTGATGGCAACATCCCATCTCAAACTCTCTCATAACTTAAGCTTGAGATAACTGAGAGTATGTGGAAGCTTGCAAAACCATGTCAAAAATAAAACAAGCCAGGCACATCCAACTGCAGCACCTACTTTATTAACATATTGCGTCAGGAAAAATGAGAGACCCAAGTTACTTTAAAATTTCAGAAACAGGGTTTTCCATGATGACCGGATCCTGTGGCCAGACTCTCACCACTGAGTACCAGCTTCCACAGAAAGTACTAAGTTAAAGGAAGCAATAAAATTCCAGGCTCCATCCTGAGATCCAGCTCTAGGTTTCACTGCTGCTCCCTCTCTCCTCCACCACTACTCGCTTAGCTCAGGTCTTATAAGCTGGACTGTCATACATGACCTATTACAATGCCCCTGTTGGGCCCTCCCTGGTGGCCCAGTGGGTTAAAGCACAACACTAAGAAGCTAAAGCCACTTCCACATGAGTTGGATCCCCACCTGCCCTGGAGGTGACCCACATGGCGCGGCAGACCCAACCGCTGCTCCCCTCAGCAGTGTACTTTGTCAATCTGCCTGTTCTGCTCCTCACTCTGTCTCTTGTGAAGCTTGCGGCTCTGGCCTGTACCCCAGCTCTGTATGCACAAATAAATAAATCTTTAAAAACAAATGCCCCAGTCAGGCGCAGCAGCATAGGTGGCACTGGGCCTCCTGGTTCACACCCTGGCACCGTGACTGCTACTCACTGGGGGAGACTGGTCATGGCCTGGCTACTCCAACCCTCACTTTTCTCATTGGAAAAAGGGGCATAATATTAACAGCACCTGTTGCCTAGGGTTACCATGAAGACTAAATGACATACTGCAGGTAGAGCACTTCGCATCAACCAAAATAACTCAGTAAACACAAACTGTCATGTCAACTGTCTCTCTGTTCCTCTAGTCCATTCCATGCCCCACCTGGACTTAAATCTCCAAGATACTCTTTTCATTATGTCACTCTTTCACAGATACCTTCCATGGGAAATGGGTTGTGAAATAAAATCCAAAATCAATTTGGATTTCAGACTTATACTCTACCTTCAACACATACTCCAGCTTTACCTTCAATCTTCCCTTTCTCTGACAAATACTGGGATCACCCCCTACCTCCAGCTGTAGGCTTTGCATTGTTATTCCTTTGTTCATACTGTGCCCACCCCACTCCCTGCCCCTCAGTACGTATATTTGTTCCCAACTTCTTTCCTTCTAAGAGATTCTAACCCATCTCTTAAGGTCCAGCTCAAAGCCTCCTCTCAAAGCTTTCCCTCTGAGCTGTCTGGCAGCAGAGGGCCTTTCTGTTCAGACAGTCCTGCATTCAAATCTCACTCTCACACATACAATCCTGGAGAATGTTAATGCTTGTAATGCCTATTAGCCTCCATCTCTTAGACCATAAAATCTCTAATTGCTTAGAAGTACAGCTGAGGCACCTTTGAAGGACAATTTTCTCAACTGCTCTATTGACTGTTTTTCCTTTATGCCTTTATCTTTCTAACTAATTGGCAAGCGATTTGAAAGTAATTTCATCTTTTATTTAACAAATCTTAACACAATGTTTACAACATACCAGGCACAGTTCTAATGGCTGTATCCCACGAATATCCACTCATTTTAGTGTTCTTGAGTGGCAAGTTGAGAAAATTAAATATCTGGTGACAGTACATAGCAAGCTAGGCTGGTGAGATGGCTTGTGGTAGTGAAGTGGTAGTCAAATTAATATACAGGAAGCTGAGATCTGACAGAGGTGGCAGCTTATGCTCTGGTGGCAATCTGGTGGCAATCATATTGCACAGCATAAATGTATCAAATCAGCACATTGTACAACTTAAACTTATCCAATATTACATGTCAATTATATATCAATTTAAAACAACGACCAAAAAACAGAGCTGCAAGTGTAATTTTAAAAGTCATTTCTACTTTTTATTCCATAGGAACCACAGAGTGCCCTACACACAGCATACTGGACCTAAACAAGTTACCTTCGCTGATGAGGCCAATCAAGCTGCCCATGCAACTGTTCTTAGGTCTTTCCCACTGACAACCCATCTCCCCATCAACTGTCTCACTCTGAGACCTGAACCACGGGAAAATACTACATGGGCAAAAATAACAGAAAAATCGGGTGTATCACTTGTTCTTATGCGCGTCAGTTACTTCTTTTTTTAAATATATATATATATATATATTTTTTACATCAGTCTTCATTTTCATACATTGTATGCTTTATCCACTCATGTGTCTGCACTCCAAGAAGTTCCCATGATCAGTTCACTGTGCACCAGGCTGCTGGCTCAAAGCCTCAGTCACATCCCGCTGACCCCAGCGATGCAGGCAGAGGACTCCAGCCCAAGGCTCTCCTGCTAACAGGCCAGGGCAGAGGTGGGTGGGTACCAGCCAGTCTTCTGGGCAGGAGTGTGCCAGGGCTCAGCCTATTCAGAGTCAGAACAAAGGGAAGCCACAAGTGGAAGCCATGAAAGAATTTTGGGGATAAGTGTGAAAAGAGCTACATAGTTTTCAGAAAGAAGGGAAAAAGCTAGTTACAATGGCTTCCTGATCTCTCCCCCCATATAATGCTGCTCTCCTTAAATTGCTAAAAAAAAAAAAAAAAAATCTATAGGAAATGTCACAGTAAAATCTACATATTGTAGAATCCAAAGACTTTAGGGGCAAGAAATGAAAATATATGTGATTTAAAAAAAAAAAAAAAACACGGGAGGCTCTAAAAATGAAGAAAAAGAATAACAAAAACAATAACTTAATCCTTACATCAAACCAACTGGTATATACAGTGTTCAATCCAAACTTGCCATCTGGCCCCAGAGCACCAAAACTGGAAAGGCACTGAGTGAGTAGCAGAATCAGACCAGTGAGGTGGCACCCCATGCTCCTGCCCTCCTTGCCAAGCACAAGATACTACATGGGTCATCATCCCACAGATAAAGTCCCACAGAGCCACAGGAGGGTTAAGCTGTGAATGTTTCAGTCAGGCAGGAATACAGAATACAGGGAGAGGGGAATAGAGCAGAACTCTTAACAGTTTTGTTTAACTTTTTTGGCCAAAAATAAAGGACAGAATTTAGCATTTGTGGAAAATGTGCAATAGCAGATACATGATTACATGTATATATAAAGAATGTAAAATATCCCTATTATTATAAAGTCCTCAAAGAAGTCAATGATGACAGGTATCTCTAACTCTTTAATTTGAACTAATTTTAGACTTACAGAAAAGTTGTAAAAATAGCAGATTCCTATAGACCCTTCAACCAATTACTTCTAATATTAAATATCTTACGTAATCAGAGTAAATTTATCAAAACTTAAGAAATTACCATTTGGACAACACAATTTAACTGAACTACTGATTCATTCAAATTTTATTAGTTTCTGACTAATGTTCTTTTCTGTTGCAGGATCCAATCCAGGGTCCCACACTGTCACGCCTCCCTGGTCTACACCGACCTGTGAAAGTGTTTCAGTCTTTGCCGCACTTTTATAATCTTGGTACTTTTAAGCAATACTGGTGAGCTCTTGTATAAAATGTTGACCAATCTCATTTTGTTTAACAGGTCACTCATTTTTCTGTACCCTCTGTGATGGTCAATTTTATGTCAACTTGACGAGCAACCTAGGCAGCCTTACTCTGGGCATTTTCAGGAGGGTTTATTTTGGATGAGGTTAACATTTAAGAGGCAGACTGCATAAAGCTGATTGCCCTCCCTAATGTGCGTGGGTCTCATGCAATTACTTGAAGGCCAGAAGAGAACAAAAAGGCTGGGTCTCCCTCATGTAACTGGGACTTGTGCCTTTTCCTGCCTTGAGACTCAAACCAAATCACCAGCTCTCTCTGAGTTTTGAGCCTGCTGGCTTTGAACTAGAACCACATCATCAACTCCCAGCTTGCCAGCTTGCCTTGTGGCTTTTAGGACTAGAATGCCTCCTTGATTCATGAACCTATGCTTTATAACCAGTCAATCACACACCCGTGCACACACACATGCCCTATTGGTCTGTTTCCCTAGAGAACCTTGCCTAATACACTCTCTCAGGACATCACATCAAGGGACCCATAACATCTGTATGTCTTATTGCTGGTGATGTTAACCCTGACCATATGGTAAGGTCAGTGTCTATAAGGTTTTTTCATCACAATGCTATCATTTTTTTTCCTTTTGCAATTAATGATCTTGAGAATAATTCATTGAGACTACATAAATATCTTATTTCTCCTCAGAATTTGGTCCACTAATTTTTAGTATCCACTGGTGGCTGTCATCTGAAACAGTCATTACTGTGGTGTTTGCCTAATCATGATTTTCTCTTTCTCTCATTTCTTTAACAGTATTGATTAGAATTCTATTGTCCTCTTCAATCCCATTTACTAATGTATTCAATTATTTATTTATGTATGTACTTGTCGATGATTATTTTATCCCAGTACTCTCATTATTTTGTGGCTCAAATTGTCCCAGCTTTGGTTTTTTGGAACTTGGCGTTTTTATAAAGGAAACAATGTAAATTTGACTGTTTAGAGATGAAAAGGCCATACTAAAGTCTCAAGTCTTTAGCACTCCCTGATTTCATCAAGTAGTCCCAGATCACACAACCAGACGGTTTTAGCAAAAACAAAGCAATAAGGGAAATTTCAAAGGGCAGTGAAGTAGTAAGCCTGGGTGGTAAGGCAACTCAATTTTCAGTAGGTAAACTACCCTCCTATCTTCTGGAGTGGAAAAAAAGTAGCAAAAGGCTAT